GCACCACCCCAGCTGGCCAGCACCTGCCCCAGCCCCACTGCCACCCTCACTGCAGGGGCCTGATCTGTCCCCCATGCCCATTCCCTTCCCTTCCCTGGCCCCCCCCCCCCGACTTACCAGCCCAACGCTGCTCTCCAAGCTGCCAGGCTGTGCACATGCAAACAGTATTTATTGGTGACATTATCGGCCACATTAGCCAAAAAAAAAGCTGACTGCCAATAATGTCAATTTTGCTTTTATCGGTGCTGCTATGATTTGAACCGATGTATCAGCACAACTCTATAAAATGATGTTTACAGAAAGTTTCATAACTGAAGAGAGCCAAAGCCATTATGCCCCAGTTCTGTGGGGCAGGAGAGCCAAACAAGGGAAGGCAGCCCAATGGGCCAAAAGCAGCATCTGTAAAGGAAAGTGAAACTGGAAGCAGTATTTGAGGTAGGGGCTGAAGATACAGAAGTGGGTATATGAACAGGAAAGAAGTGAAGAATAAGAATATAAAGTTATGTCTTCACACTAGTTTTTAAACACACAACCTTTTCTAGCCATTCTGCTTACACAAGAGATTGACAACAATGGACCCAATACCCCATTCATTCTTATCAAATAAGCTGTCATCCCTCTTATGAAAACTGTATGTCATCTGCTAATGTTTAAAACTAAAGAAATGCAAGGAGTATTACACAACCCTATTTCATTCCTGAACTGACATGCTTAAGCTAGCTAATGTAATCACTTTGATAAAGACTAAGAATCAAAAAGTGTTCAAGCCTAAAAATGATAAAAACACCTTCATTAACATTGATGACAACTGTTTAGATTTTGGGCTATAAACAGTGAATGTCCTTCTTTTGCCAGGTCTCATTTTAACTCTGAATGCTAGCATGATGGTTTTTATATAAACGGGAACTTGTTTTCTACGCATCAAGAAAGGTAAGTGCAATTGTCAGAGGCAATAAATCCTTTTTTTTTTTTTTTTTTTTAAATAATTCACAAAACACTTTTTTCAGGAGTTAAGTTTGCCAGGTAATGATACCTGTCATTTATAAACCTCAAAAACTTTTAACTAAATGTATAATTAAGGACACTGTCTTGGCTCTCTCCATGTAAACAGTTACATTATACATAGAGAAACAAATATTGCATAACTTCTTAATTGTGGTGCCTAGGAGTTCCTCAGCAACATGGTTAAAGGGGCAACAAGCAGTCTGCACTTGTCAACTGACAGAAGACTTCTGTTGCCATCTTCAGAATATGTTGTAGATGCAGTTGCATCATTTTGCCATAAGTCAATGTGGACTTGTGGAGGGCTTGATCAAAGTGTCATTAATTTGGACACAAAATTACATTTTCTACACTATGAAATAGCTTGTGCTTCACGAGTACTAATACAATCCCTATTTTAGAGAACCTGAATTCAAGGGTTTTATCTTCTTTTTAATACTTCAAGACATTTACTGAGTTGGTAATACAAGATTCAAGAAACCTTTAACTATTCTTCCCTCTCCTTGCTCTTGAGCTCATAGGCTTTACAGGGAGTATGACAGATAACAACTACAGCACTGTCACTTGAAAAACATCAAGTGGTACCTGAAATGAAAGTCAATTTTGTAGCTTTCCATATTGCTTTAAGACATTTTTGTTGCACTGCCATCAGCCTTTTTAAAATTTGAAATGGATGGAATGATCACCAAGTAACACCAGGCAAACTAAAAATGGCTCTGTCATCCTCCAACTCAGACCATGCACAAGACACACATTGACAGCAAGTGTAATTAAGTAAACATACATGCCTAGTGCGGGGGCTACCTTCGTTCTGAAAATTATTAAGAGTTCTGAAACAAAAAATCAGATTCATCATCAGAACTAAAACTAGAAGGAATATCTGATTTCCACAACCAACATAACTTCATGATGAACATCTGAAGCAGACAGTCCTTCTGTTACTGATCTATATGGTCCATGGCCGTTTCTAACTATTATAATGCATAAGACAGTATACAACAGTGCCTTTATCCAACCTTCACTGACCTCTCTTGCACCTTTTATCTGATCGGCAAGTGCTGCTAATAACATTTTGCTCTGTGCGTTAATTTAAGCACTTTTTTCCAGTTGGCTTAAGCACAGGGATTTGAACTCACCGGTTTGCAAAGCACTTTATTCTACTGAATGAATGTGAAGCAGTTTGCTACAAGCTTCCTATATAACCTTCTGCAAGTTACTGGAACTCCACTCAGTTACTCCACCTGTACTTGCCACTGCACCTTCACTCCCTAAGCAAAGGGGACATCTGAGGAGTACTGCAGAAGTTGCAACACATTTCCTATTCACTTTTTCATTTATAGATTAGCTCAGTCTAGTTCAGAGTAGTCAAGTCATTCTCAAATGTTTCTCTTCAGCCCCAAAGAAAATAAATAGCAGATGTTTCTTCAAAGACAGACCAATTTGTTAGAATTGAAATAGCTGATATAGCAATTCTACCTTCCATCCGCTTTTAGAAGTCGTGCCCCAAATCAAGGGTAGCCAACTTGTGGCACATGCACCATAGGCGTTACAGGCGGACTCTGTGAGGGGCACATGGCATACTGGGCAGGAAGCAGAGCAGAAGACCAGGAAGAAGAAGGGGATCGGAGTGGCACAGGGCTTAATCTGTGGCACACCTGCCATAAAGGCTGGTCCCCACTGCCCTAAACATTCCTCCAAAATGAGACACAACAAGACTTCTTGCTGATGGCTCCTCTGTTACAAATGAGTAGTTTTACAGACCACAGCCCTTATTGACATGCTGTAATTCTGCACCCAGTAGGACAAGCAGAAGTGGACTCCTTCCACTTTCTTTGGTACTATAGCCACCTTGTACAATTTAAAACAATGTCGTAAAGTCATCCTGCTTCTCTCTATGATATACTAATCTAGAAAATGTATTTTAGTTCCAAAACTTAAAATAAACAAGCAGAGAGAGAGACTGAGATAAAAGTGAATCAAATAATCAAAAGCAGCTTGCTCTGTCAACGTATCAACGTCTTATTTCACAATTTTGTTCTGCCTCACAATGCCCGATGCAACAAACACAATTAGTTACTGAGATTCTTCTTTTTCTCCTCCTCACAATTATCTTACATCTTTCTGGCACTACCAGTTGGAAGCTAGCTAGCATGATATGATCCTGTAACTCTACTCCTAAGCACAGGGTAAAGGGCTGCGCAACTGGTACAAAAGCAGTGGGCAAAGAGATTAAGACACAGAACTTTAATAATTACAAGTTAAGTTTAACCTTCCACAAGCATCAAGAACACCTCAAAAATGCTTTGGTCTACCTACCTTCCCACTGAGGTCTATGGGAATTCATTGGAAGTCCGTCACGAGGTGCTGCGGTTCGTTCCAGCAAACTGTTCTCATTACTTGGCATGCAGTCAGCATGGGAAAAGTCGTTCTGTATTGGGGAAGAGAAAGAACATGAATTCTTTTATGGGAGCTCTATGTTCTCCAAGTCTGAACTTTAGTCACACAGGCTAAAGTGCCAGTTTGGAAGTCTAAAATTAAAAGAAATAAGAAGCCACAAAAGAAACAAACCAGCAGTTCTCTCCCATGGGGCTTGGTAAACACTGCCGAACAGCAAGCATCTAGTAGTGACTGGGCACTTCACCTTTTTTTTTTGGATGTTCAGACATTTTTAGGATACCTTACTAAAATGCTGTGGACCTATCCTCAGAGTTAGGTTCCTTTAAGAGATCTTCAATTGGACATCCAAAATTACCTGCACTTCCTAATAGTAAGCATTATTCATTGTATTATAAATGTACTTAGCTTGTAACCCATATGTTCTTCATGCACTATTTTAGTTATTTCCATCATCTTGAAACTAGAAGATAAACTAACACTTAAAATCATAGAATGAGCTTTAGTTGAAAGCACCTCTGCCGCCATTTTTCAGCCCAGGGACACTGATACATGTGAGGCTGAAATCTGCTGCTCCAGCAGACTCAAGTAATTACCGTGCTCCAGCAGACTTAATCAAGTCTGCTGCGACATGCTGTAATTACAGCACGTTGGAGCAGTCTTGCTGCACGTGTATAGGTACCCCATAAGCCCAGTTCCCCCAGCCTCTCCTCAGAAGTCATGTGCCTCAGACCCCACTTGTTACTCAGGAAGACTTTAGTCATTCAGGGATCTTACTTTTGATTGATCATAGTCATCTTTTGCTGACCCCTTAGACCAGGGTTGGGCAAAATGCAGCCCGGGGGCCGGATGCGGCCTGCCAGGCCATTCTATCCAGCCCATGGGGCCCCTACAAAATTTAGAAAAATAACATTTATCTGCCCTGGGCTGCCTGTCATGCGGCCCTTGATGGTTTGCTGGAACTCAGTAAGCGGCCCTCTGCCCAAAATAATTGCCCGCCCCTGCCTTAGACAGTTTGCATACTGCTAGGGGCCCGCAGATCACAGATTGAAAACTAATGTTTTACACACATATATGGGGGATGGAGCAGAAGAAAAGATGAATTCATATAAAATAAATGTTGACATTAATGTTATAGACACAGATATGAAGGTATGGAAAACCTTCATATCAGCATGAGTTGACTGCCAACTCAGGTGACAAAATGATGTGATTCTGCATAAATTAACAAAAAAATATATATGCAACTTCTTAACACTAAGGCATTACTCAAGGGCTTCAAAAGAGGGGACAGGTGTCTTTAAAGGTAGGTACTTAAAAAAAAACAGTACAGCGATATCCACCTGAAATACAGGGAAAAGAGCTGGAAAAAAACCCTTTTTCTTTAAATGAACAGCATATAGTGTTAGTCCACAACTGTGCACCATTAACAAATCCTGCCACTCAACAATGTTTTTTCTTCCTACTTTTCTCTTCCCCTGCCTCAAAAAGAAAGTTCTCTAGCACACTGTTTACTTTAAAAGAAACCCTGCCAGTTTCCTGAAACCTGCCAAGTTGTCCGGAAGACTGAAAATAGCTTAGAGGGTATGATTTAGTGGGCAGAGTGCAATGGATGTAATATATCATGCTTATTTAGATATATATAGAAAGGCAATACATATATTGCCAAATTCAACACACTCAAGTTAAAGAGAGTGTACTTCAATAACCCAGGTATGAGCCAGAGATGGGCCTCGGATACCTTAAATCCTGTTTGCACATATATCAGAAGGTAAAGTCTATGCATGCATACGTTTTCATCTTTTCAATTTTGTCTTAGATAAAACAAAAAAACCTTATTACAAGAAAATTAATTTCAAAAGAATCTCTGGAAGGATCACTGGTCACATGAACTATGTTTCCTATCTCAGAATGAGATTTTTTCTTTTTGTTGACCTATAAGAAGAGACTTCATAAAACCAGGAAGGAGGGAATGCAAAATCCTTAGACAACAGTACTCATATTTTTTAAACATAGGAAACATGGGATTCTGGATTGAACTCGAGATAATGTAGAAAGAACCAGAGGGGCCAAAAGCCAATTGTACTAAACTGTACTACCCAGAGTTGCTCTCCAGTTGTCACTTGTAGAGTGCATAGAAGAATAACATCTAGTTAGGGGGACATGGGAGGAGAGAGGAGAGAAGAGATGCACACAGACACATTAGCCGCTCTGCAGCAACTTTCACATTTCTGCTCCTATCTCAGCTAATGCTGGATAACTTAGCTCCATTTCATTCAAGGGTAAGCTGTTTAGCTTCCACTTACCATGAGATGAAATCAGACAAGCAAGAGAATTATTCACTTGCACAGAGCATGCACAGTAAGAGAGGGGCAGGAATTTACCTCCATTTGACTTGTTAGTCTGTATATACCCTCTTATATGAAATCAGTATAGATCTAGTCAGCTGTAAGTAGCTTTGAAATCCTTCTTACACACATTATTCTAGCCCTACTCTCCTGATGCCTGAATGAATACCATCTAATTCTGCCCCCACAAACTTAATTCCAAAGCAAAACAGCCTTCCATTCCCAGTTACTATTTTACACATACTCTAAACAAGGGGTGGGCAAAATACAGCCTGCCAACTGATTTGATCTGGCCTGTGGGCTGGTGCCCGCCAATTTATTGAATCCAGCCTGTGGCTGCCTCTGCCATGGGGCTGAGTCCTGCCTGCTCCTGCCCACACTGTGCTCCCACTGGCCCAGTCCCAGCCAGCATCCATAGCTTCTCAGTGGGGATGCTCCCATTGTGGCTGTAGCCTTCCAGGTATACTACTCAGCTCCCCCAGCAGCTCCTCTGCCTCCTACCCATGCTGTGCTGTTCCAGGCAGAGGGGAAGCTTCAGCTAGGCAGCTCCTGCCCCAGCACATAGAGCTCCAGCTCCAGGTCATCTTCCACTCACCTAGCGCAATAAGTAGCCACCTGTGGGCAGCAGGTGGCAAGGTACTTGAGGCTGGGGCCCTGTGTGCTAGGACATGAGGAGGAAGAGTCACCACCTAAGGTAGGGGGAGCCTGCAGCACCTGGGGGGGGGTTCAGCCACATCGGCAGCAACTGAGAATCCTACTGAGAAGCTGTGCACCCTGGCTGGGAGTGGGACCAGGACCAGCAGATGCAGGTGGGAGTGCGATGCAGGCTGCCCCGAGGGCAAGGCACAGCCGCATGCTGAGTTCCATGGGGGTAGCGCAGGCTGCACCAGCACCTCCTGTACCAAGTCTGCTCATGTGCACCCTGCCCTCCCTACACCCCCAACTGGCTTCTGGGACCTAGGTTGTGGGCAGAACTCCCAGCACACATGTGCACACCCCTATCCCCCTTGGGGAAAGCAGAGGACTGTGGGATGCTGAATATCCTCAACACCCAAGAGAAGCATACAGCCATTCAATTGGTGTGGGAAAAGCCAACTTTCTTGTGCAAAAAAACCCTTGAACAGCTGTATGCTCTTTTTTGTTGGCAGGAAGGCTTTTCTTCCAGCACAAATCTAACACCTGTATGTGGTGGACAACAGGTTATACTATGCTGAACTATACCTGCAATATTTGAGCCAATAATTTGTAATATGTGTTTTGGTACAAGTGAAAGTGTTTTATGGCTAACAAACCAAAGAACTGGAAGCAACTTCCAAAAGAACAGCTATGCAACTGACATTGCACTGAGGTTTTTCTTAAGCTGTAGCCAAAGGCCTTGCCAGACAGAGCTTTGAAGTTAACTGTATTATATACAGGAAAGAGAATTGCATTAACATTTTGACAACAGTCCTCCATCCAATTTGTTGTTTCCTTGTCTACAAGAATTCTCCTTCTGGCTCTAAAGCCAGGAACTTTAGAGCTTGAGCCACGGCACCACCCATTTTAGGAAGCTGAAACTAGTGCACTTCAGATTTTTCTGTTGTAAAGCAGACTTCATAAAAGCAGCGAGAACTTAAAAAAAACCACAAAAAACAAAAACTCATTTTTTAAAAACAAGAAGTTACAGGGATATAGGTTGTAGCCGTGTTGGTCTAAGCACATAGGCGGACAAGGTTCTTTGGGTAAATCGGATATCTATTATTAGACCAACCCAAATAGTTGGAAAAATTCTTCTTTGCAAGCTTTTGGGTATAAATACCCTTCATCAGGTTTTGTAAATTCAAATGGAATTTACAAAACACCTTTCACAGACAAGCCTATGAATTTCACTTCATCAACCTATGGATATAAAAAAAAATCATGGACTAAATATAGACATTGGATTTATGACACATTATAACATGCCTAACATCTGACTCCCCAGGTACCTCTCCAATATTTACCAGCTACATTCAGGCTGTTCCCTGCAGGGGTACTGAGCCCCTTCCCTGACAACACACTTACACATTTACCAGCCAGACCTGGTTGCTCTCCATGCTGCTGGGCTGTGCTCCTGGCCAACTGTGTGCTGCGCTGCAGCTGCACACACGCATGCAGCATTTATTGGCCACATTAGTTCTATGTACCCCCATGACCCTTTTAAGTATTTCTAGGGGTATGTGTACCCATGGTTGACAACCACTGGTTTAGAGTGTTGTCATTTATCATCTTCTACTCAAGCTAGTGTTATTCCACTGTAACTGCTGCAGCAAAGACAACTTCAGAAGAACTTGGGGGAGAACAGCATGCTGGAGATTGTTCCCCTTCACAGTGGCTTCTGAAGTACCGAGAAGTAACAACGCTATCTTTACTATTGCTGGTAGACAATTAACTGCAGTGTTTTATCAGAGCCTTAGATTCAGAGCTCTCGGCTATATTCTTTGAAGAATCATTTTACATGCTACAATTCTCACAGGGATTCTTAATAACACTAATTTTCTGTTCAGACTCCTCTCTCTCAAGCAAGACTCCTCCCAACACATGAATTTGCTTACTAGTTAAAAGAGTTTGGAACTCTTTACTCATCTCTGAAAGCAAATGGGAACACAAGGTTGAAGAAAGGCAGGGAGATCACAGGAGAATGGAGATGGCAGCCAGACCTTTTGGCTTATCCTCTACA